TTCAAAATATTATTTAAGACAAATAGCAATATCGCTATCATATTTTTTTAATATATCAGCCAATAACTTGGCTAAACAGGTTACTCCTATTGAGCAACCAAAAAATATTGACATTCATAATAATTCACCTAATACTGACATTCATAATAATTTAAATTATTAAATAAGACAATAGAGACAACCTCTTGCAAATTAAACAGTAATAAGGTTATTAATCTGGTTCACCAAAATATTCAAGGCTTTATGAGCAAAGAATTAGAAATTGAGTTATTTTTAAATTGTAATAATGTAGATATTTTGTGTATAACTGAACATTGGCTAAAACCTCATCAGCTCATGTTCAATTTTGGTAAGCACCAGATTGGTAGCTCGTTCAGCAGAGTAAACGCTATACATGGTGGCTCACTTATACTGATAAGTAATCAGCTTAAATTCAAAGATCGCAAAGATATAGTTAGTTACTCTGTTGAGCGTACTGTTGAAATAGCCTGTGTGGAATTGGAGCGGTTTATTGTATTAAGCGTGTATAGACCACCTTCAGGTTTGTATGACTGTTTTGAAACAGTAATGGATGAAGTATTAAGTAAACTTACAAATTCAAAGAAATCCATCATTACATATGGTGATTTTAATATAAATTTATTAGAAAAATGTAGTTTAAGCACAAAAATTGTAAGTTTATTTTCTTCATACAACCTTGCGAATTTGTTTCTGGAGCCAACTAGGATAACACCCACTAGTGCCACTTGCCTGGACAATATTTATACCGACATTGTGCCAGTTAACAAAGAAATAATTTCAGTACTTGATTCCGATCATTGTGGTCAGTTAATTTCTTTAACAAATGAAATAAATATAGTGTCAAAACAATTTATCACAGTTAATCCGAAGACTAAAAGACGCATTGAATTTTTCAAAGCTAAACTCAGCAACAAATTGCCTTTGTTGTTGAATTATAAGAATTCTAACACTTTATATGATAAGTTTTTTAAAATGTACCTAACAGAGTTTAAGTCTACTTTTACAGATAAAACTATTCCAGCTAATAGCAATGTGTCTTTTGGTGATTGGGCAACCACTGGTATCTATAAGAGTAGAAATCGCCTCTATGAGCTCTATAATGAGCGGACATATATTAATACTGTTGAATTCAGTGAACATGTAAAAAACTATTCTAAATTATTTAAAAAAGTTTGCTCTGTTGCAAAATCTCTATTCTTAAGCTCTAAGATAAAGAACAGTACCAATGTTATCAAAGACACTTGGAACATTATCAACAGTGAGGCAGGAAGGTCTAAAAAAAGAATTAGTCAACATAGTCTAGTAATTGATAATAAGTTAATAAAAGCGGATGTAGAAATTGCAACTGCTTTTGAACATTTCTTTTCCGACATTCCTGTATCCACTACAAAGTCACTGAATTCATCTCCCACTGTTGCAGAGTCTTTACTCAAAGAACATGTTGTAGCTTGCGATTCAGGGTTTTCCTTCAAACACATAGATAACAAAGACATTGTTAAAATCTTTAATACTTTGAATAACAAAAAGACTGCAGATCTATGGGGTAATTCTGTGTACATTACAAGCTCTGTAATAACTATTGTAGCACCTGTATTGGCTCAAATCTTTAATAACTGTATTGACTGTGGTGTGTTTCCTGATCTTATGAAATGTAGTAAAATAATTCCATTATTTAAATCAGGTAGTACTTCTGACCCCACTAACTTTAGACCTATTTCAGTACTACCTACGTTCAGTAAAATTTTTGAAAAAATCATTTTAGATCAAATGCAAAGATTTTTTAATAGAAATAAATTATTACATGCGAAGCAGTTCGGATTTACAAGGGGTCGTTCAACAACTGATGCCGGTGTTGAACTTCTTAATCATATTTACGACGCATGGGAGGACTCAAGCGACGCTTTGGGAATATTTTGTGATTTATCCAAGGCGTTCGATTGCGTGCTTCATGATACACTGATCAGGAAGCTTTCCCATTACGGAATTAGAGGTGCATCTCTGGACCTTCTTACCTCATACCTGAGTAATAGGGTTCAGAGAGTCGAAGTAAACGGAATGGTTTCTGCCGGGTCTGTTGTGAAGATGGGTGTTCCGCAGGGTTCTATTCTCGGCCCGTTTTTATTTCTTATCTATATTAATGACTTGCCTTACCTTGTAAGGGATAAACACGAGATAGTGCTGTTTGCTGATGATACCTCACTATTATTCAAACTCAGACGACGACAATCATTAATTGACAATGTAAACAGTGCTCTCTCAGAAATAGTTCACTGGTTTGGTGTGAATAACTTATTACTAAACGAAACTAAAACTAAATGTATTAAATTCACAACACCAAATGTTAAACAGATAAAAACCAGTGTGCTTGTCAAGGGCGAGGAGTTGAGTCCTGTAGATACAACTGTCTTTTTAGGTATAACCCTGGACGCTAAGCTCCAGTGGGGCCCACATATAGATGGCTTGTCGAAGAAGCTCAGTTCTGCAGCATATGCCGTTAAAAAAATTAGAAATTTAACAGATATAGATACAGCGCGGTTAGTTTATTTTGGTTATTTCCACAGCATCATGTCATACGGTATTTTGTTGTGGGGGAATGCTGCTGACATCCAGTCTATTTTTGTTCTGCAGAAAAGGGCTATTCGATCAATCTATAATCTTAGTCCGAGGCATTCGCTCAGAGAATTATTTAAGGAATCTAAAATAATGACAGTTGCCTCTCAATATATTTATGAAAATGTAATTCACGCTCATAAAAACAAAAGCTTATTTAAGAAATATAGTGATATACATAATATCAACACGAGGGGGAAAAACAAATATGTTGTGCCTGCCTCCAGGCTTCAGAAAATAAGTAGTTCGTTTAGGTGTCAATGTATACGCTTTTACAATAAAATTCCTAGCGATATTCAAAATTTGAGCCTCAATAAATTTAAAAGTGTAATAAAGGCTAAACTTTGCTGTAAAGCATTTTATAAAATAAAAGACTACTTAGAGGATAGTCAGGCTTGGGAATGAGCCGCTGTAATGTCTGCACAGGTCATGTTGACATGTTTGTAACATAAGTTACACTTTTATATACAATTTGACATTACGTTTATTTTTTTTTTATACAATGACATGATCACATAGTGTGACATTTTTATTTTTTATTTGACATTTTTTTTAATTTATTTGTTGACATTTTTATTATTTTATATTATTGTTAGTGTAAGGACCGTGTGAGACTTGTCGTGCTTTTTTATCACCAGTCATCTGCGTTCTGACAGTTTGAGTACTTGCGCGACCCACCCAAATGTTCTTTTGATCGGTATTGTTCGTCGGACAACTCAACAGCACTAGCTATATGGTTGCAAACTGACACTTGCGTGCCTGTCTTCAGAACGGGTCCACTTAAACTGGTGTGGTTCTTTCCTCAAAAGACCACTACAGAATGAACTTGCACGGTTCTCTCACATTATGTTATTTTATATTGTCTGGACTTGAAAAGAGACTGACCTCTGAGTTTGTTTCGGCATTTCTTCTCAGAGTAGTCAGATAGGAAATGCCGGCTTCATCTAGTTTTTCACATATAATTTGACGTGTAAAAGTGCCGTTTTAAGGCCTATTTGCAAAAATAAATTCATTGTTTCATTGTTTCATTGTTTCATTGTTTCATTGATAGGTTTGGATAACGATGACAAAATGTGGGATCAAAAACAAAGAAGTGTTAAGAAAACAAATCGTAAAAGAAAGGGCTTATAGCGCTTGGTATTCATAATTGTTGTTATAAAAAAGAGGAATAAGATTATTCATAACAAAATGTCTTTAGATGGTATGATGAGAATGTCTTTGGCATTTCTTGTAGTCAAGAAAACGTCTTAGAAATTGTGTTCTCTTCTCACTGGGAGCTCATTAGAATAAATAAAATTTGAACTTGTTATTCTGTAAACATAGTATGTTTCATAGTGCTACATATTAACATTGAGTCAGTTACAGAAACAAACCCACTTGAACATTAATGTAGACCTGGATTCAATAAAAAATGTATAGATACCCCCTCATTTGTGGTGGTGTTGTGCATAATACAGTCTCTGGGAGTATCGTGTTGACTATCGATTACTCTATATTCGGAAACACGTCTGCGATGGCTCGTCGCCACTGACCTCTATAATATCGCTGGACTGGCTATTGCTATCAACTTTTTGTGCCTATTTGAAAATCGCCATTTTGGCGCTGACGGCAGAAGTGAGGGGGAATGGAACTAATACTAGTAATGTACGACAAATGGTTTGATATCGATAAAAACTTTACTGATATCGACAACAATTACAAAAATATTACCGACGATATTTTTGATATGAAATTGGTTTAGGTAAATTTTATTAACACGATTTAATATAATCATATAAATATAATTAATTTTATTAATGTTACACGCACGTAAGACATATAGGTATATAAGATATATTTAAAAAATATGATTTGTAGCATAAAATACGTTCAGACTTAAATAACTATCTCACAACACCATCTAGTCCCAAGTTAAGCAGAGCTTGTGTTATAGGTATTAGACAGCTGAATGGGAATCGAACCCATGACCTGCGGCATAGCAGACTGAGCCACCTACTACGAGACCAACAAACTTGTCTGTAATAGTAGTATTAACTACTTTCTGGACTGTAATCAGTAGGTATCACGTGTGCGGTTGACCCGTTCTTTCACTTCATTGTTCTTCTTGATTGGATAAAACTTCACTATTGGATCAATAAATCTCTGTAAAATAATTATATATCCTTAATAAAAAATTTATTATGCACTCTTTATGGAAAGGAATAAACTTGTTACTAGTTAGATATCCCATGTCGCCATGTGGTACAAGACATAAACCTGTAATTAGGTACGGTAATTGACTTCTAACAGCTTAACTACTGTAAGGGAGGGGGACAGGGAAATTAAAAAAGCATTTTTAAATCACATATTTTATTATTTAAAAAAATGTCGTCGAGCCTATTTTATTTGCCGGGTCAAAAAATGTCTTACTTTCTCTCCAGTTACTAATAAAGAGTATTTTTTTGTTTCTGCGTACAAACGGATGTCAATAATTTGGTTATTATTTCTTATACAAGAACATTTAGGTAACTATGAAAATTGTCTGAGACATAACTGTCTCTCAGGTGATCTTTTAGATCAGGAAACAGTTCATTGGTTTTGCAGTATCTTTGCAGTAAGTACTGCAGAAAAATTAGGCTCGATAGGTGGCTTATTGTTATTATAATTAAGTGCTTGTCGGAATAATGATTCCACCATAAAACAAATGTTTACAACACTCACAGAGGGCACAGTCAAACCACCTGTTTGCTTTTGGATAATAAGTGCTACCCCACTTCTCCTATTTGACACTGCATCTTGTGGTACAGTTTCACCGGCCATTAAACAGTCATCGCATTTTTTTTTCATGTCGATAGAATTGTAAATATCATTTGATCGAAAATGTAAAGTAATGGCAAATGATCTTAATTCTGGAGCATACTTAGAACGTTTCACATTTTTGGTAATTCTTTTAAAAGTTATGTTTTGAAACCATCATACTGATTTAACATATAAACACAATCATCACATACCAGTTTCTTTTTTTTTTAAATCAGCAATTACAGATTTTAAAGTAGACACGGTTAATTTCATACGTTTCATATTTTGTGACAATACTTTAATTCGAGCTTGTGACATTTTCAAAGCTCTTTTGACCCTTTCCAATTTATTTTTTGAAGATTGTGGGGTGTTCACGTAGCGGTGATCTAATTTGACACTAGAAATTATTTCCGCTAAAGTTCTAGATTCAGTTGGTGTGCTACAGTAGCTTGTGTTGTAACTTGTGCTTGGAACTGTAACAAAAAATTATATTTCATTATTTATATTATTCAAAGAAAGATAATAATTAGATAGTGAAAATATGTTTCAAAATATTGGAAAAGTTATGTCATTATCCTCATTTGAACCGAAAGGTGTCCACTGGACATAGGCCTCCCCTAAGTGTACCAAATTTTTTGTTGACTGCAAGTACCCTCTTAAAAATTGTTTAGTATTTACCTACTGTTAGTTGCAAACTTAGTATTTCAGCAAGCCATGCTCAGTATTTATAAAATTTTCTAAAATAACTTACCTGCAAGGGCTTCACATGGCAACATTTTTTTTTGATGGACTTCATCATTTAGTAACCCATCTTGTACAGGTCCTGAAGGTGAATTAAATTCATCTAAGCTCATTTCAATGTCTTTCTTGCATTGGTATCCTGTTGGTTGATCAGCCTCTTTAGACATCTCAGTTTGTAACAAGGATGAATTGGTTTCTGTAAAAAATTTGTTATTTTATTACAAATCAACAATATTTTTTAGATACCGATAAAGTATTTACATAACTACTACAAATTTACACTTGCCAAAAATATTGTGGGGATACTGCATTTTTTCAATGTAGTCCGTGACTGATGTTTTGTGAAACAGTCATCCATGAAGTGTTTAGAACAGAGATAATTATACATTTTTGGAGTCTAATTGACAACCTTCATATTTTTTAACCAAAGTTTCAGAGTGTCATCAGAGGGGAATCTGTAATTGAAAGAAATATTATAGTAGGTATATAAATTTATGTTTGTTAGATAACTCAATAAAATTATTAATCATAAATGTTAAATTATTTGTTATTGACTCTGATAATTAAAAACCTTGAAGTGTTTTGCTATTTTAAGAGATCATTATATTGTGCATATTATTATTTTACAATGAAGGTAAATATTATTATTCAATTCAATTTTTATTCAGGCCTTTGTGGAAAACACCACAATTTTGTCAATAATACTTGTGAATTGTATAATAAACCATCAAAAGCTGTGTAGTATTTGACGCAAATGAATATTAAAAATATTAAAAATTTTAATTATGAATAAAATAAAACATAGCATTGCTGTTCTTATTACTCCATATGAAAGTATCGATATGAACTTTCACATCCCTATCAAAAGTTATTGGTTATAAAAATGTTCGTAAAATCCCATAAACTCGAACTGTTTGCGTTTATTATTGAAAGAATACACTGTTTTAAGCGTTTCCTACTAAGTATTTATATTTTAGATTCACTTACTTGTGAAAAGTGACGCCACTGCTCTTTTCGTATCGTGTTTTACAATATACGCACGATTTCATGTTGGTCCAATAAATAGAAGCTATGATACAATAACTGTCACTATTATAGCACTTAATTTATGTCACAATCGCAGTAAATACTTTAAAAAACGTATTATTCCGCAAAGATACTTCGCATTTAAACAACAAACAACGGCCATTTGCAATTTAATTAGTTCTCAGTACTCTCACCGGGGCGCTTTGAATCGGCACAGAAAATAGCTGTCATTTTGTTAGGGATAGCCAGTCCAGCGTTTATTATAGAGGTCAGTGCTCGTCGCCGACCGGAATAGTGTCTTCCGCAGCATTCATTTATGTTTTATAAAATTCTTTAATATTCTTCTTTTATAAAAGCTAAATTCTTACTTGGTGTTATAATGTTTGGATTAAATTGTTTTTCGTTTGTTGTACGTTGTAAACTTCTCTTGTTATTTCTTGCTCGTTAACATTTTTATCTTTTTTGCACTATTGTCATGTAGAAACTGTGTGTCTTTTATATTTAACATGCTAATTTAATTTTGTTCCTTTTTAGTCGCCTTTAACTCTCTTAGCATTTGTGTATTTTACAAAATCGTTTCTAATTTTATGTTTTAGTTATGAGTCTACTTTTATTCTTTGCGTTCTTTCTTCTTTGTTTTATTTTAAGTCGTTATTTTTGTTTCTTTTTTTTAATGCTAGAACTGATTTGTGCAAGGCTTGTATTACGTAAGTGTTAATATAAAATCTAAAGCAAATGTATAAATCCGGCTGGCTTACAGTTAACTCGATCAATACACGCTCGAATAATTGAAGCAATTCGATCTGTTTCGAAACGCCGTGTTTAAAGAAAGTGCATCAGCCGTTTATTTTCATGGAAACGTGAGAGCTTTCGTTACCGGATTTCGGAGAGCTGTTGATTATAACGTTCCAATGTGAATGGATTTTCGTAAATGTGTACGTTACGAAATATGCTTTGTTTGTTGGGTTACTATGTATTTATTAAATGTAAAACTAAATGCTTTAGCATTGATTTACCTTCGCGGAAATTACTTCTACGTGTATGTGTATATCCTTTTTATTTCCTTTCGTTTTCTGCTTACTGGTATTTCGTGATTAATTCTCGTCAATTTTTATCAAACTAAAAGCAACCCCGCTTCCCTTTGTTAATTAAAGATTGTGACACAATGGACATCACCTTTTACCTTTTACTAATCTAACAATAGTCTGCAATTTACCCCTTACTTATAAAATAACGATGGCAGCTAAATGTCATAGCCTAGCCTTCAGTGCAAAAGTCAGTAGGCATAAATAACTAAGCAAGCGTGCTTCATGGAAATAAATCCATTTTTGCCGACTATTACGCGGTTAAACTCTTACTCAGAACACTGGAAAGTGCTTGAGACGTCTGGAACTGTTAAAAGTTAAATAAACTGGGAATTCATTTGTTAAAGGGTTAAGCTTTTACATTGTGGGGTATATTGATTGTTATGTCTCGTTCTAAATTGACTCTTTTTACCATAGCTAGGCGAATCTTTGGCTGTACTGTGCCGATTTGCTAGTGCTTGCAAAATTGCTAAAATGGCTTTAAGATTCGAATCATCTTGACCAATACTTTGTTTTTTCCATAGTAATGTCCTGATGCACATGTGACAGGGAATCCTTCCTAGTTATTTTTTCAGGACGGAAACCATCAAATGACTTCTTTTTGTCTTGGGTGAGACGTGAAGGGGTGTCAGATTCTAACTGATTTAAGATCACCCTGATCCTTCTCCTGCTTCAGGTCAGGGCAGTGGTTGTTATTGCGCTTGCAGCCGCAACCTCGACACATCGGCCCTATTGGTCCCCATCTTTAGTGATAGAGATTTCATTTCTAAAGATTTTGAAATTATTCAGTCCTAATATATTGTTTCTCTACAACCATATACTTTATATGAATGCTATTCTTTCAATGGCCATCTGTGCCATTACTGATGACTTCATTCAGAGAGCTCATTCTATTCCTAACACAGCTTCATAATTATATTTAGAATAGATATAGAGAGGCAACTTAATGCGTTCCACTTTAATTCATTCCTTTATTCATTTAAGTGGAAAGAACTAGTGAGGGCTTGTAAGCTAGCATGAAGCGTGAATGAAAGAGGGCTGAGGAGGATGTAGGATCTGTAGGGAAGTAGGGATTACAAACGATGACGGTTGTTTCCCTTCTCTGTACCGTATGGGATGCGTAGGGCATTATTCAGAATATTAACTGTTATATTTTTTGATTTCAGTCTATTCTTTTTGGGATTGTTAGTCAAAATGAAAACGCTATTATTGATTTAATGGATAACGTTGTTAAGGTAAACTTTAATTACTTTTTGTAGCATGTTCATTGTTCAACTTTCCTGACAATGGAATTTAAACGTTACTTGAACGAGTCAATAGAGAAGACTATGGCTTGACAGAAGTATTGGCATAGTTAGATTTGTTGCTATTTGTTTAAGGGGGCTCGCACAAATAACAAATTCACAGAAGAACTTTATTCCTACCCAATCGCAGAAGCATTAGAATGAATTAAGGCAATCAAACAACTTCTCATAGTTAAATGTCACAAATTCTATCATAAAACTATCTTTGAAAATTGTATCCCCTTTACTGAATAATTCTTGTACATTCAAAGGGATATCAAATTGCAACGTACTGTTTCAATGAGTAATAAATTCAAATCGCCCGTGGCGCCATCTCGTGTGATATTTATGCGTGATAATAATTAATGAACTTATGCAGAGTACTTGGCACAACTTTTAGATGTACCCTCTCCCTCCCTTCCCCTCTTCTTAGTAACTTGTGAAGTTGGGAAACTTCCTTTATTTGTAACGTGGGTACATGTTCGGTCAGTTTTGTTGAAAGTGGAAAAAAAGAAGAAAGATTAGTTGAGATTTCGTGTTGGACTCTTGGAGTTTTATTCGCTGATTTGCCATTTAGGTGTCAAAATTTATTTAAGAGTGACTGTGGATCTATATGATTCACAGACACGAGATGTGTTAATTTTTTTTTTGAGACAAAAAGTCTACTCTTTTATTCTTTAATGCAACTAATTCTCATAATGATTAGATTTAATTAGTGAACTTCAATAATATGAAAAATAATAATTAGGAATACAATTTTCTCATAGGAAAGTATTTATACAGGCTGGGACTACATCAAGTGACCCTAAAGACAACAAACCTTTTTTTTGTGAATGTAAAATCACCAAATGTCTTCCTCAGCCCAGGAACAGTAAGAGAGCGTCAGACTCTTACTGACTTAAAACCCGTTCCTTCTTCTGCTCTAGGTCGCGATGCCATTTTGAACTTGCCCCGCAATTCCAGCAAAAACTTACCTACGATTGTTTTGTAGCCATTTTTTATTTTTTCAGTTCAAAATACCGCAACGCGAACCTCTGTTATCGGCTTTATTAAAGTTATTGTGTCCCTTGCTGTCATATCGTTACTTATATGACTTTTACGACACATGTCATACGTAATTGCTTAGGCGCTGTGTTGAATCCCCCAGGCATCTTACAAAAACCAAGCCAAGCGATTATAACCTCTATGGATATCAACATCCCTGTTGTAATAATTTAATGTTGTTTATTATTAAATGTTATGACGTGTAACTATGAATATGGGTAGTAGAAGTTCCTGTTTTGAAGATCATTTTTAAAATGGAATAAACTTTAAGTTTAGAAGTAAATTCTATTCATTCATTTATTTCATCATCAGCCTTATCTGTCCCACAGAGAAAAAAAATCTCTTCTCACAAGGATAAGTATTAATTTCTTTCCAATTCGTAAATTAATAGTTAATTCTTTTTATTAGTTTATCAGGAATTTTTACGCAAATGCAAACACAACAAATTGTGAATCACACAAAGAGAACCTGCGATATGTTGCGCAGTAGCCGATGTCAAACGACTGATGCGAGATAGAAGAATAATAACGCCGGCGTTCGCTTGGGGTTTGATGAAGTAATAAATCTAATAATTATTCATTACTCAGGATTTTATGGGTAGGTAATTGTTTGAATTATATTTATTGGTTGGGTTATGGTATTTACCTACTTGATCATATAGAGCTATAAATAAGGTAGCAGGGAGTCAGAAAAAAGGTCGTTACTAACATTTGCGCTCGTAGCCGGTTTATTTCGTAATTCATAACGTCTACCAAAATATTTTGGTATTGTTTGGATTTTCTTACTATTGTGGTAATGTTTAGCGAGATTTATGTTCTCTTGTTTATTACAGAGGGGAAGTCCGTTGATATAACTCTTGTTATCAATTTTATTAAGTGAATGAGATGGACGTATTATGTTTTTGGTCGACCAAAATCAAGCCCCATTCATACGATGAAACTTATAATAAAATATGATAAATTAATTAAAGCTATTATTGACTTCCATGATCTAAACTATACTTATGGTATAATGTAAACTAGCCTCAAATTTCTCGCTCCTGTTTCTTCAAAAAAATGTATGAACTAAATGACCCTTCACAGACATTGTCAAGTTTACGAAAAGTAATAATGTTGCTAGATAAATCGAAGCAGAATTTTAAATTACCTATATACCTATTGGTTATTCAATACTTGTATGTGTTGTATTTTTGATCCTATAACCCTATATCGCGGTGTAAAGATTTGTGTGAAAACAATGAGGCTCCCATCCAGCTGTCCTTCGTGCAGGTTTCTAACGCCCTCGCCTGCAGTTGTAGGCAGCGATGAAACTCCTAATTTATCTAGGATAAGTGTGTAAGGTATTCTTTTAAGAAAAATCTACTGATTGGTTTTGAATGAAATTTGACAAAGAGATGGATTATAGCAGTAACACATAAGCTTCATCTATACTAATTATGCAAATTTCTTGTTAAAGAACGAGTCTATAAAAGTAAAGTATATTATCTTTCCCATGACCCTATTCTTATTTATCTATATACTTGTGTGATTCTCACCTAAATAACCTACATGGTATACTTAGAATTATAAACTAAGTCCATATGCACAAGTACGTAATTAAAATTATAATTGACTGAGAAATATGAAATTAAACAAACTAACCTCACAAGATACTATCCTGTAATATCAGTTATAATTTGCTGTGTTTTTTAATTAAAATTCTCGTACGATTTACCTTGATATCGGTAAATGCGTTTTTAATAGCGAACCGCGTCTTTTTTGCAAAGATTCAATTTGTTAGACGTAGCTATCTTACCAAGCTATGTTATTAACATGGGTTAATGGAGATATCATCTGTCCAATAGTTAGTTTAACGCCTTATG